CTGCATGCACTCTACTGAGGATCAAGCCCAAAACTCAGGCATGTGCCCTTGACTGGAATCAAACCAGGGACCCTTCAGTCTGCAGGTCGACACTCTATCCACTGAGCCAAACCAGCTTTAGAATAACACCCACACTCTCCTGTTTTAGACCTACTGTTGTTTTTTTTTTTGGGGGGGGGGTTGTACTTTTCAGCACCTGGCACATAGTGGGCACTCAATATCTACAGACTGAACATTTGCCTGGAATTCCCTTTATACCTTTCTTCACCTGTTAAGACCAGTTCAGGTCTGTTCCAGGAAGGCTGTCTTGAAGGCCGAGGTGAGCACATACTCCTCCAGTGTCCTGTGCACCACATGCTATTTCCCATGTGCTACTGAAACTGTTTACGTGCCTCTCTTCCTCTCTAGACCATCAGGTCTTCTAGCGATACAGGTGTAGAGCATATCTGCATTCCCAATGCCTAGCACACGGTAGGTGCTCAATAAATGCTCAATTCTTAAATTAACGCCATTCACCCACAGGGTGGAAACCTGTATCCCAAACACCTTCCAGGACCCACTGCCCTCTGCAGTAGGCTCAGCCAGAAGCAGGTTTCCAGCAGGTTAGGTCAACAATCAGCCAAACCACTTCCCACTCCTTCTGAGTGAAGCCATTTTTGCCCTCCCCCTAAAACTGAGGAAAGTGGAGAATGGGGGAATTTCCTGAAGTTCATCAAAGCTACCCTAGTTTGTGCTCTAGGGCATTTGTACTGTCTCCACTTGAACTTGGTCACCTGGGAAAGGAATCCAGTGACCCAGGAGTCTGGTGTGCAGTGATGGGGGCAGACTGCAGACCTGGGCAACAAGGGTATGTACACACCTCTGGCACACAACCTCTGAGTTGTATGTTTGTTTTTCTGTCACGCAGACATTCGATTAAAGACAAGAATGATGAACTTCCCACGGCCTCACTGTGGTTAGAGCTCGACTGTCTCCAGATGCGATCGTGGCTCCCCTGGGAGTACTTGGAGGGGCAGGGGGGCCAACAGTCCAGAAGGAAGTAGGCAGCCACCATCCCACTTGAGCCACTGAAGGACCAGGGCAGGGTCTGCTAGCTGAGGGTCAAAGATGGTGGCAGGGACATGTCTGGCTTACCCTGGGCTCTTAGAAACAATAGTGCTGACTGCAGGGTTAACTCCAAGGCTAGGACAGAACGCTCTGCTCTCTGCCAGCACCCACACTAGTGACTGCTCCCCTTGGGGAGGAAGGAACCCCTTCAGGGAGGGTTCCACATCACCTTCCTTTTGCCCACCTGTAGGCTGCCCAAAATGTCTTGCTGGGTTGGTCTGTTCCTTCCTTTTGAGCAAGAACTCAACATCTGAAAAAATGTAATAGTAGTCTTTAGAAAGTAGTAACCGTGAGTCTTAGGAAGAATCCCTGTCCCAAGGTGACAGATGTTGGCACACCAATGGCTCCCCCACAGCTTAAAAATCAGTTCTGAGTTCCCTGCCTCAAACTACCTCCCACGACTCCTTGGGGTTCTCTGAATCTGTAACATTCATCCACCTCAATCCACCTCATATTGTTACCTATTGTCACACGGGTATGGTTTTGTCTTCCCAAGTATAATTTAATTTCCAGAGGCATGGGCCCGACTTACGTACTGCTTTCGCATTCTCCTTAGCATCTGGCACAGTGTTGGGCACCAAGTGGAAGAATCACTAAGACATATTTTGCATAGTCAATTCCAAGGCCAAGTACCCATCCACACTGCTATCATAGCATTAACAGATTTCAGAGTACTTGTTTCCTTTTGAAGATCATGTTTTAGGTTCAAGGTATCTGACAAAACTAGCATCTGCTTTTTGGGGCTCTGATTTTAATCTGTTTGTGGAACTTTGCAAAGTATTCAAACATCAGACAGGTATCCTTTGGCAGAAGAAGGGTTTCAGGGAAACCCCTCAGCACAAAGCGTGGCCTCAGCAGCATTCCCCGGCTCGCTCTTGGCCCTGCAGTTTCTGCCTGGCCTGGGAGCCTGTCCTCAACTGCAGGGCGCCTCTCAGCCTCTGTGTGGAGGAGGGAAAAGCGCTTGTGGTTAGCAATCTCCAGGCACGACTCCCTGAAGTCTGAAGTAGAGGAAAAAGGAACAAAGTGTTTCAAGAAAAAAAGCGCACTGGGACTTTTTGGGATTGATTTTATTTGGGCTTCTCACAGTGGTTAGAGCCACTCTGTCTTCAGAACAATCACAGCACAGGAAATGCGTCACCGAGACTGCCCAGAAAGGTCTGACCAGCTGAATCTTATTGCTTAAAATACACAAATTCACGTAACTGACAAATGGTGATGTGCCGCACACAGGAATGTGTTAGCATTTGCAAATCTTCTGACTGTAGCACCAAACCCTCGACCAACCCCTTCCTTCTCATTCACCTGGAAAACCAGACTCCACCAAATCTCCCTGGCCCCCTAACCAGTCCTTCAACTCCCCGTTTCCCTTCCCTTTGCATGCAGGGCAGCCTCCTGGAGCAGGGACAGACTGGCTGGTGGAATCAAGCCCCGCTCCGGGTTCCATTATCCCAGACTCCTGCTGTAGGGTGGGATGCCGCAGTGAACCTTCACACACAGACCAGTTCCCCCCTCTAACAGGGCAGGAAACATGAGAGGGCCAGAATTTATCCATTTGATCAGTGAACTGAAGGTGGACTCATTTTGGTAAAACTTGATGTTCTTGGAGACACTTCAGTGAGTTGTTTGGGATTTTTTCTTTTTTTTTTAACAGTGGAAGGAAAGGCATCTGAGGGCTGCTGACGCACTCCCGCCCACTCTCGCCACGCACCGGCTTGCTGACATGAGCTGGACCTCAGCATAGGAAGGTAAGCCCTGCGGTGTCTGCCAAATCTCCTGGCAATTCTGGGCAGGGCTGACGTCTGGGCCACAGCTAGTCCAAGCTTGTCCCTGAAGATCCAATTAAGCCTTCGGTCTGGAGTTCCACCTTCACCTTCTGCGCCGAGTGGTTGTGAACACCCCCCCAGGGGGCTCATACCGAGGGCCGGGAGCAGCCGAGGGAGGCAGACAGGGTCAGAGCACGATTCCATTTACAGGGAACAGAACACAGGCCTCCGCACGTCCGCGGAGCAATGTGCAAATTGCAGTGATGGGTAGAGGAAAACCTCTACTTTGAGGACAGTATCTCTGGCAAACACGGGACTGCCGTCGACAATGCTGCTGAATACACCCGAGTACACAGTCAGACAATTGTTCAGTAAACAGTAAATGCGTAAAATAAATTACCTTGAGAGGGCTATATCTGCTCCGAACACGTGGTAAATGGGAACAGAATGGCTGCCAGTCAAAGTATATTCACAGGAAAACAGGGTTGGGGGCTCACACACAACACACACACACACACGCACACACACACAGGTTATCCAAAAAGTCATTGTATACGGACTTCACTTTGTTCAACACAGATTTTGGTTTCGTGGATTCCAAACACAGACACTCATTCACCTCACAGCCTTGGATTTGTCTTATTTTTGTATACATCTATATTTTTTCCCTTTCTTATCAAAAGGTCAATGCCTAGTCTAAATGTCATCGTTCAAGAGTGTGGGAAGAACCAAACTCTTCCAATGAACAGGGCAGAGCAGGGAATGTTAGTTTCAGCTGCTTGTTTTCTCTATTCAGATTCTTCCCATCAAAGCTCCACTGGTTATCTGAAGCCAAACTGCAGTGACAAGGATCCCGTGATCCTTCTGGACGGCTCCTCCGGCTCCTCCACCCCCTCCTGGGGCCACTCAGACTCTTTACATAGGCTACGACTGGCTACCCCACTCACAAGGGGAAGGGGGCATGAAAACCACAGATAACCAAGGCAGTTTCCCCCCCAAGTGGTTAGTTAAAACAACAACAACAAACTTATTCAGAATCAAGAGAAAATACTGTGTGAGAACCGGCCTGTGGGGCTGCCCTTGCTCAGCACCACAGCCTCGTTTGTTCAGAGAACAGTGAGACGTACAGGCCCAAAGACTGCATACTTGGGTTGGGGGAGGGCCCTGGCCACCTGTGGGCACAGACCAAAGGGCAGAGATGCAGAAGGCTGCCCCTCTACCCACCACTGTGGCTCAGGGCTGCCTGTGCACCCACAGAAGGTACGGAGACAGCCTCCACCCAAGCCGCTACACAGAACATCTCCTTCTGGCTCTCTGAAGGCCGACTTGAGAAAGAGCCGCAGACTTCCCTTTTCCAGAATAGAATTCCTGCCTGCCCTCTGGTAAAGCTCTTGTTTTCAGCTCGCTTTTGTTCTTTTTCTATTTAAAAAAAAAAAAAAAAAGAAATACAAAGAGAAGGCAGTATAAAGTTCTCCGCCTGCACCAGTCTGCAGCCAGCCAGAACGTGCTGGGCAAGGATGTAGTGATGCATCGATCTCATCACCTGGAATTTGGGAATGCAACAAACCCTTACCTACCTACCACCAGCAACCCATCAGCCCTCACCCTCCCACAGGTCTGGGCCAAGTCCAGCTCTGCAGACACTGGCATCGAGGGATGACAGCCCCTGGGTCTCTGCAGGCTTCCTTCACCCAGGGCTGAGACCTGCTGCCTCTCCTGACGGACACAGAGCAAAAATCCACTCCATCACCAAGAGTCACCTCAGGGTGACTTCGTTGGGGACTTCTTAAACACACAGTACCTCCGACCAGGCAGGTAGTGAAATATGACTTGAAAAGGAAAAAAAGGAGATGGGTGGGGAATGAGGAATGAGTCACAGAACCACCTTCTCAGCCCTCCACAAGACTGTGCTTCTATGGGGGGCGGGGCATCCACACCCCAAACTGTACCTGGAGATGTAGGAAAATGCAGAAACAAGAGGGGAGTGGGGGGGGGGGGGAAAGAAGGAAGGAAAAAAAAAAAAGACCAAGTGGCTGTACCACTTTCTTGGAAAGTCACTTAATGCTTCTCTCGTGGTTCTCCCCTACCCTGATTGCTTTGCCAAGTTCTCAGATCCGGGCAGAGCCTGCTCTAGCTGGGGGAGCTGTTGCTCTGGGAATTTGGGGAGTCCTGCTCATTGATGGTGTTCAGTAGCAGGCACGCTGGTGGCCGGGGCAGGTGGGGATGCCCAAGATCTCGGGCCTGCTCGTCGGAGGGCTGGCACAGCCCTTCTTCCTCGTCACCGGGGGGCCGCACGTGGCAGCTGTCGCAGAATTCCAGGGGTCCGTCCAGAGCGTCGTCGATAAGTGTGCTGAACTCTTTGAGGTTGTCGTCGTGGTGGCCCCGGTTGCACACACACACCTCGATGCCCGAGTCCCCCGTGAAGCGGCGATGTCTGCCAGGCGTCTTGTCCTTGCTGTCAGGGAGGGCGCCGCCCTGCTCGCAGCTGTAATCTTTCAGCAGCTCCTCCTTACATGCGGAATCCTTGTCCAGGAAGGCCCCGGGGGCCAGCTCCCCCAGGTCAGCCACAGAGCCGCTGGGCTCCGTTCCTGGGGCTTTGGTGGCTGCTGGGTCGGCTGGCATGTCGATGGTGGAGGGCTCAGGGTCAGTGATGATGCTCGGGGGTCTTGTGCTGCTTCTGCTGGACCCTGACAAGGGGCTGCTCTGGGCGCCCTGGGAGCCCCTGGCGGGATCAGCACCTGGGGGGCTGCCGCCTGCAGGGCCGCACTGTGCAGACAGCTGCTGCTGCTGTAGCTGGAAGGCACTGTATGGTGGGGGAGGAGTTGGAGGTCGGTTCACCACTTCCTCATAAGGAGGTAGTAAATAGTTTGGCAAAAACCCTGAAATGGGGAGGCAGGGAGGAGAAGTTATTGCACTGGCAATTGTTCTAGGACAGAGACATTCCGCATCTGTCTCTTCCCACCCCAGCATACCCACCGAGTGACAGCTACAGCTCTTGGTTGTGGGCAGGGCAGAGGGCTGTGGGAGTCACCTAAGCTAGCCTCTTGAAACCTGAGAGCCCCTAAAGCTGCTTCATAGGCCAAGATTTCTGTCTCTATGGTCTGGAGCAAAGGCAGAGGGTTAGGAAAATGCGGTGGGTGGCCAAGAGATCATTTCTGTCTGGAATGGACCTGCTTCACATGCAAGCACGTCTCCCGTTTCACGGTCAGACTGTCCTCCGCTTATGCCCCATTAGGCCTCGGGGTCAGGGACCCTAACTTAGGACTCTCTGACCACCTCACCCTTCCAGATGTATATTATGAAGAGGGCCTTATTCTGGGAGGTTGTAAATCTGTGTTGTCTCTCACTCTAGTGTGGCTGGAGGTGGTCTGGAAAGACAAACCAAACCTCATCCTGACTCAGATCAAGAGGGGATGGCTTACCAGTGAAGGGTGAGGGCCTGTCATCCAAGACTTAGTAAGAACATGCCAGGTGAGTTATCTTTTCATTCATGCTTTGAGGCACCGATGATCTGATTGTAACTGTTAGCGTTTATTGAGCACTTACTATATGCCAAGCACTGTATTAAGCACTCAACCCTTCTAAATGTGAAATTCCACATTTGTGATCACTTTTTTCTATAGAACACACTGCAAAATGGCTTTGGACAAGCTGCCTAGCCAGGCCTCCACTCACTGAGAGGGCCTATGTATGAAAGCCCAGAGGTCAGGTGAGTGCCCTTTAGTGAGTCCCCGAGTTTCTTGATTCTCAGAAATGTCACCTCCACACACACCTGTCTCTTTCATGGCAGCCTCTGCTCAGCATGATAGTAAACTAAATCTCATTTCACTCACATCATCCATCATCCAACTACCTGCCTAAAAAAAATCTGCCAAAGAAGCAGAGAGACCCTGTCAGAACCCAGACAGCGTAGGTGTGGAATGGCCCGGCGCACCCCCAGCACTGGCTGCTCTGTGCTAATGTGACTGCCCCCTTCTCCTGTACTTTCAAAGCCCTGCTCCGTGCCTGGCGAGGAGGCAACCCCCCAGAGCCCACAGGAGCCCTGGCCACCAATACACACAGTCTGTGTGTCCCTGGCTCCCGAGGGTGGAGTTGGGGGGCTTTGGGGTACGTACTGAAGTAAAATGGCAGCGCTGAGTAATTGTGGGCTTCCCGGTAGGCAATCAGGTTGATTTCATGCTGCCGCTGCTGGGCCTGAAGGCGGTGCTTGGCTCGGCGGTGGTGGCAGACACAGCAGCAGCTCAGGATGATGATGATGGTCCACACCAGCCAGAACCCTGGGGGTGGGGAAGCAAGACAGAGAGGCAGGGACAAAGTGAACACCAGCCAGAGGGCAGCTCTCAGAACAGGGAGGCTCCCAGCAGTGCCCACCTGGTCAACGCTGGAACTGTCAGGCCTCACTCAGCGAATTCACATTTAGAACCTGCATTCCATTTTCATAAATGTTTGTGCCGAAGTGAAAGACATGTGGGACGGAAGAGGGCAGGATTGTAAGAATGACAGTAAAGGAGGCCACTCAGTCTGGGGGGCCTCCAGGGACCTCGGGGGAAGGGCAGAGTGCCAAGGCAACTCTCCAGCCACTGGTCCTCCCGTATTTTTGGTTTGATGGGTATTATATATGCTCCCCTTTTAGGACAGTGTACTCTTCCTCTATTAGGAGACCTCTGAGAGCCCAGCCAGTGTAGCTCAGTGGTTGAGCATCAACCCATGAACCAGGAGGTCACGGTTCAATTCCCTGTCAGGGCACATGCCTGGGTTTTGATCCCCAGTGTGGGGTGTACGGAGAGCAGCCGATCAATGATTCTCTCTCATCACTGATGTTTCTGTCTTTCTCTCATCCTCTCTGAAATCAATAAAAACATATTTTTAAAAAAGAGATCTCTGAGAACATGCTCTAGCTTCTCTTAGTGTTTATCTTCTCCCATGAGGACAGCTCCAGGCTTACTTTTGCTGCTGATATCAGGCTACCCACCAAAAGCAAAGAGCCTCCCAAAATCGCCACAGCTCAGCTGATATTATTAACTACAAAGGGGCCTCGGAGGAGCTGCCTGATAAAGCAATTCTTAGGGTCTTCCTAGTATCATCAAAAGGACTTGGGGCTTTTCTTTACCACGTACCCTCCATAATGTAAGAATCCCTAAAGTTAGAAGTGGAAAATTCTAATTGCCTCAGGTCCATCTCTTCCCCAGGGAGTGCAAATGACTTCCTCAGCTCTTGATATAATCCGGTAAAATTCCATCTCCTATCACACAATCCACTCCCACCTCCCTTTGGCCTGCAGCTGCATTAGACTCAGGGCCCTGAGCAGCCTCCCCTCCTTCCACCCTGTCCCAGAGAGGGGCAGAGGAACAGCCCTCTTTTCTCCGGGTGCATTATTTCTTCTCATTTCCCACTGGTTTTTAGTTACCCCTCTCCAATTTTCAAATGTATACAACAACAAAAAAAGCTTCCTAAATATTTTTTTTAATTAATGAGCAATTTTGTTTTAAAATATATATACACATGGGGGAACTGGAATGAAAAAACACAAAAAAAGTGACCTATCTTTAAGTAGTGAGATTATGACAAATTTTAATTTCCCCCCCAATTATTTTCTTCTTTCATATTATAAAAATCAAAACCAAGTAAATGAAAATTTAATATATCTGTGATTAATTTTATTTTTGAAGGTTTTTATTTTTAAAATTAATATATTTTTGGATGGACTTTCAAATTACTCTGGGAATATATTCATATAATGAAATGACAGGTGTCATTAAAAATTATTCATAGAGCCGAAACAGGTTTAGCTCAGTGGATAGAGCATCGGCCTGTGGACTGAAAGGTCCTGGGTTCGATTCCGGTTAAGGGCACGTACCTTGGTTTCGGGCACATCCCCAGTGGGGGGTGTGCAAGAGGCAGCTGGTCGATGTTTCTCTCTCATCAACGTTTCTAACTCTTTCTCCCTCTCAATTCCTCTCTGTGTAAAATCAATAAGATATATATATTTTAAAAATTATTCATAGATACCGTTTTTTTTTTTTAAAGATGTTTCTAATCCTAATATATAAAGAGCCAAGGTCCGTAACATCCAAAACAACCAGATGACTGAACACCAGGCTGCGTGTGCAGCAGGCTGGGGTGGGTGGGGACTGGCAAGTGGGCTTAACTGCTGACCTCTAGGTCCTCCTGGGTCATGGGCACCACGGTGACCCAGCACTGACTGCCACCACCAAGGTGGCTGCGATGTGATTGGTCGGAGGGCCCCTGCCATCGATCCATGATGGCGCCGCTGAGGGAGGCTCAGGCCACCAGCCAGGGTGCTCTGTGACTGCCCCAAAGAGGGGGGCCAGGCTACCCAGCTGGCGGCAGTGGACAGGGCCTCCCTCTGAGGGGTGATCAATCATAGGGCTGAAGGACCGCCCCCCTGCCCCAGCGCATGAATTTCGTGCATTGGGCCTCTAGTATTAAATTAAAAAGCAGATTACAAAACAGTATAAAATATGATCCCAATTTTTGCTTTAAAAAAAAGTCTACCTAAACATCTAGGAATGATCAGGAAGTTAATCCCAAGGTTATTCCTGGATAACGGCATATTTCTGGTAACAGCTCCTTCATTTTTTGCTTATCTACATTTCCTAATTTTTCTAAGGTGAATGTACTTCTTAGAAATTAAAAAATGGATCTGGCCCTAGTCGATTTGGCTTAGTGGATATAAAGCATCAGCCTGGTCTCAGGTTTAATTCCAGTCAAGGGCACATGCCTGGGTAAGGGGCCATACAGGAGAAAGCCAATCAATGACCCTCATTATTGACGTGTCCATCTATCTCCCCCTCTGATACCAATAAAAACATATTTTAAAAAATTTTATCTGAGGAACAATTTGTAGGTAAACTGTTATTAAATGAGAATAGATTATATTATTGTTCATTTATTGCCTATTCTGAATAACTTCAGATTTTTTTCCATTACAAATGCTACATCTAGTTTTTATCATCTGCTTTATAATTATAAATCTGTTTAGAATCTGTTAAGTATTTCCATATGTACTTCTTGCCAGAATGAGCTAACATCATGTTTTTTTAGGCTAACATCATGTTTTTTAGGCTGTCCCTACAGACAGACCTATAAATGAATAGAATTCTGATTTTTTTTTTTCTGTTTGTACCAAAACACACTATTCTAAAAGATCCCACTGACATTTAGGGTGTGGCCTCTGGCAACAGCTCTTTCCGTTCCCCAGTTGTGTCCCCACTGAATCTCCCCACAGAGGCAGCCTTACAGGGTGAGATGGCAAGGCAGTACAGCCGCCAGGCTCTGGCAAGCTGTGGGCACCTAACTGCTTGTGGTACATGTTCAATGGAACTTTCTGCACGGCCCTGGCAAGAGAACAGGCGGAGGGCAATGGGCGGAGGAGTTTTTCCCCATTTTCCCAATAGCAGACAGAAAAACCTCATTCCCAACCAGAGAACATAAACTTAATTTGAACTCAGAAGTCTTCTTTCCCTTCCCAGATTCACTATTGACATTTGCTTATTCAACTTACATTTCTCTCCTGTTGCTGGATGACTGAAGACTAGACAGACACTTGTTAGCGGAGCCCGGAGGATGTGTTGAGGCCAGAAAGGAGCTCTGAAAGAGAACTGGCTACCTGCTGCCATCCTATAACATCGCCTCCAGGTCCATCTAGTTACCTCCAGCCTCTTACGCGGGACTGCATTGGAGAAAGCCTCCACAAATAAGCACAGTGCATTCTGCTGAAAAGCCTGACTACCATTGTATTTAAAAGTCACAAAGATTCTGGGCTGAACTCTCTATATTATCTACATTTCTCTTATTTTCCAGCATAACCTTCATATTTCTGTGTTACTTGATAATTTATAAAATACATTCTTCCATTAGATCAGGGGTGGGGAACCTTTTTCCTGCCAAGAGCCATTTGGGTATTTATTACATCATTCGTGGGCCATACAAAATTATCAACTTAAAAATTAGCCTGCTGTATTTGGTCATTTAATTAACTCACCGCTAAGGCCTTGGCAGGGCCAAACCAAATGGTTTCGTGGGCCTTACATGGCCCTGGGGCTGGACATTCCCTTCCCCTGCATTAGTGAATCCACATTTAACTCTATTATTTTTTTACTTCTAGAGTCATTTTTTAGTAGTTTCTTACCAAAAGGTAGAACAACTTTTAACATTCATGCCACAATATTTATGATCTAAGGCAGTAGTTCTCAGCTTTTAAACATGCTTAAACACACACATACACACACACACACACACACACACACACACACACACAAATTGCTTTTAATAGGAAAAATCTCCTGCATTGGTTTTCACACTGGCCAGATATTTCTGGTTTCCCCTGCTCTTGGCACGTGGGTAGGTTGAACTTCTTGGTCCCTTTTTGATTGAATGAGGCACTGGGACTGGCTTTAACTAATGAACTGGTATTAGAAATGACACATCTTTTAGAGGCCAGGATACTTCTTGCTGACGTGAGACTCTCCATGAGTTTTCCTTCTGCCATGGCAATCGGCAACATTCAAGAAAGTGACTTTAGGGTCTGTCTGGTCCTAGAGGATGATGAAGTGAGCACAAAGCTCCCAACCAATCTGTGACACACACATACTATAGATAGTGTGAGAAGTAAACCTGTTGTTTTAACCCGCTAGGAGTTTGAACTTGTTACTGCAGCATAACCTAGACTGACTGATGCAATGAATTTATAGGCTTTTCAGGTGAGAGAGTATTTAGCCACACGTCCATAGCAGAAACCATCCCCACTGTGTCTATAGACATTTATGGCATACAAAGGGTTAAAGGGTCCAGCAGATCCTCCTCTCCCCCACCCCGTTGATTTTTAGAGAGAGTGAAAAGGAGACGGAGAGACACACAGAGAGAAAAACATCAATGTGAGACAGATACATCGACTGGTTGCCTCCTGCATGTACCATGAGCTAAGGATTGAGCCTGCAGCTAAAGTATGTGCCTGACCGGAATCAAACCTGAGCCTCTTCAGTTTGCAGGCCGATACTCTATCCACTGAGCCAAACAAGCTAGGGCAGATTAATCAGATTCATAAGCAGATCCTTGATCCAGAAAAGGGCTGCGATCCACTGAACTATAAATATAAAGGAAAAAGGGCCTTTAAAAAAAAAAAAAAAGGGAAAAATTAAGCAGGTCAAGGGGACTGGGGAAAGAAAAGGACAACTGGATTACTGTGTGAATCAAAACTATGGGAAAACTAAAGTGGGGAGCAAAATGAGTCTAGTGGTACGTGTGATGACATAGT